AGAACAACCCTGAAAATACACTGTGGTTTATGTGCCAGAGGCATACACATACATATTTTAAGGTGCCTGTATATATTTTAAGTTAACTTTTTCTGTGTTGCTAATAGAAGATTACTGAGAAGAAGCAGAAGTGTACCATACTTTAAACAACTAAATCACAAGATTTTAATGAAGACAAACAGCACAAAAAGATTAGTCAAAAAAACCTGCTCTGTCATTCCTGCAGAACATAGAAATCTTTTCTCTTGGGCAGATGTCAATTTTAATTATTCTACTAAGGTTTTGTAAGAGGAAAACAGACTTTTAGAAGAACCTGGATTAAAGCCAACTAAAATGACAAGTAAACAGATCACAGGTCATGCTACTCATGCTCTGTCGAAGTAAAACAGTAGTTGTCACACCTGAAACTTTCAATATTAAGTCACTTCCAAATTTGAGAAGTGCATATGAAGAACAAGATAAAAAATTAGTTTTTTTCTTTCTAGATTTTAGAAAGTTAGCTACTAACATCTGACAATACTTAACTGCATGCTGTATTACATTGTTGCTACACGAACAAATAACTACTGGCAGGTTTAAACAAGCAGGAAAGCAGGAAAAAGTACAGGGATAGTATTTAAAACTTCAGAGAAAAACAGTCCCAACAGAAACCTGAACAGACTTACCATGGATTCTGTTCTTCCAACAACAGAAAACCACATTTTGATCTCCGGGACTACAGATCCTTGAAAGAAAAAAAACAATTCTCCACTTCTCTTTCAGCCCTCAACGGTAACCACGGCTCTAGTCTGCTGGATTTTCCAAGACACCCATCAAGATAACTCGGCGCTGGATGCTATGACACAGTGTAGCATTTATCAACACCAGCTATAACCAATACAATATTCAGACTCTTACGTAATCAGCTATGCTGTTCTGACTTCCATTTACTTTAGAGGCTTTATTAAACTTTGAAAACTGCTAGAAAAAACAAAAAGGGAGCCCTTTTGCACAGAAGACAAAAAACCTCCAAATTAAACAGGAAGTAATGTGCTGGCCCACAGATGGCTGAGAAGTCACATGCGAAAGCCCCCAAAAAAGCGATATATTTTTAAAGTAAACTGCATGCACACGCTGCTTCCAAATCATCTGGATTTCATAAAAACTTAACCACAATGTGGTTGGGAGTCAGGCAGCTTTTAACATCAAAACATCTTTCAGGGTTAGAGCAACCAAAGTCTGCACACAACCTCAAAAAGCAACACTGTTCCCGATGTCCGACCACTCCTACCAGCTACATTTCCATATACCTATTACAAAAGCAACTGCTAATAAAGCTATAGGAGTATTACCATAAGAAAACATGCACCACCTACAAAAGGCTAGAACAAGAAATTACCTTTCTGGATCACATCTGAAGCTCTAAATTTAACTTAAAATCAAAATCCTCGCACAGTACTCAGTTTAAGAAATGCTGTTAGGTATTTTCCCCAATTTAGAAACAGAAGCAACAAAACAAAACCCAAACACACAGAACACTGTTTACAGGGCTCTGGCAGCTAACAGTTGTTTCAGAAGTAACTCATTTTCTCTGGTGTGTATGTGTAAATGCTTACTCCACGGCTGCTCAAAGGGGCTGTCCTGCCTCAGAAAATACACTTAAGAGTACAGTGAGGTGAACTAGGAGATGCCCAGCATTTCAGTTCTCTCCAGCACTCCTGGCAGGCCTTTAAAAACTTCTATTTCACAGCTACTGACATTTTACTTAAATTAGAAGTAATGCACTTCAACATTTTACCTGTCATTAGGTGGAAAGAAGATCAAATATCCCAGGGCTCCCCAGGGCTCTAACACTTTTGTATACTCCTTGACTCACCTCCTTTGGTTGTGTTTTGGTTTTACATTAACGTCAATGTGCCTGCAATCACCTGCTATCACAACCTGAAACCATCCATCATAGGAATAAGCAGGTGCACAGCATTTCAATGCAAGTTGCATCACCTCCCAGCTTGTACAACCCTAACTCCACCTCCAATCATCTTTTCGATTACAGCAGAGAAGGCGTGACAACCATTTGGTAACAAGAACATGTGGTGTGGAAGTGGCACGTAGGGTATGGTGTCTAATTTTCCCACTAAAACTCTTATTTGGCAGAGGCTTTATTTACCTGCAAACTAATGAAAACTCAAAGTATCATTAAACGATAAATTTGTTAGATGTTTCCTCAAAGATGAGCGCAGATTTTTCGCTAGGAAAGTGTAGATTTTTTGTAATGGGTCGAAAGAAGGAAAGCAGCCACTGGGAATTATTTTTCTTTACTGTCTCTGAGAATCTGCCCATCTCATTCATCTCTAGAATATCACCAACCTACATTTTATCAAACTTCATTCAAAGCCAGTGACCAGTATGAGGAGCAGATTAAGACTTAACAAGAAAGGCAGGTCAGCACTGACGTGCAAAGGCATTCGCACAGCGTGTTACTGAAACCAATTTTGTCACATCACAGGAAAAAAACAACTGTTTTCCTAACCCAAGCTGAACAGATTCAGGTTTGTCTTTCACTGGTTGAAGTGGGGCTGCCTGTTCACCAGCTGCTACATTTTCTTTTATTACAGCACTTTTGAAGCAATCTAGAAATATTGAAATTATTACAGCACTTAGAAGCAATCTAGAAATATTGAAAATAATTCAGTAAATGTAATTGGATTAGCAATCAAACTGGGATCCTCTGCATGACAGCAGTAACTGTGTATTTCTGAAACCAAATACAAGCTTTAATTTCTTCAACTACGAGGCACTTTTACATGAGCATGTGATAGCCAATCTTTCATTATTACAGTAGAAAAATCTATTCTCACACTTGCCTCCCCCTCACATTTCAGGTATTCTATCCAGTTAACATTTAGAAAATTTTATCAAATAGTCTACTCGTCTTCTTCCTCCATTTTCTTCAGCGAAAGGAAATAAAGGGAATTTTTACTTTTATGATAGTAAAAGATATATGACTTGAACCATGTTGAAAAAATTATTAGTAATAAGTCAGCAAGATAAGAATAGAAAGAAAATATCCACCCACTATTGCTAAGCTTCTCAGTCACAACCACTCAATTCTCTAATCAATTCTGCTCTGGCCAGATTGAGAAAATTAATGCCTATGTATTCTTCCTCACTCTGTTGTTCTTATTAATCCTATTATGGGAAAAAGCATGCTATTATTTACTTCCAGTAAGGAACTTTGAACCCCTTGAAATAATGCCTTGAAAATAATCCTACTTAAGTATTATAACAATTTGTTTCAACACTCTAATGCAAGACAATTTTTTTCTATCCAACGAACACTCTGCCGACGTCTAATTAAGCAAGAGTTTCTATTCTTTGTATACTGAAACTACAATAAAAATCCGCCTCTTGCTTATTTCAGATCAAGATTTAAGACATAATTGTTTAAAAATCCGAATTCCAGTATTGGAGCAGGCACACAGCAGTAACATGAAATGCAATCACTGCCTGAACTAGTGAGTGCTCCTCCAACTATGCTGATATGAAGATTGCTGCTTCCATCACTAATCATGTTAAAGAAATCACAAAATTGGTTAAATAACTTGTAAACAACTTCCAAATCAAGCTTTCAAATCACTGTGTACTGATGAGTAGCACTGTTACATACTGCTAATGGAAATTAGGAGCGTCATCTTTTAAAAGAACATACAGAAGCCAGCCAGCTCCAGTGAAAACAGAAATTTTTTCCCCATTATATCCTCCTTCTCTCTCCATGAGAAATCAGATTTCACAGCATAGAGTGGAACAAAAATAATTTCCACTGCACCTTTTGAAACATTCAACAGAAATGCAGATGGAAATCTGAAGCCTGATACATATTTAATCTGGTGTATTATCTCAAGATTTGGTATTTCCTTCTCAAACAATTAACAAATTCCACCAAAATAAAAGCAGAATACTGAGTTACATTTTTGAGATACTGAATACTTCACTCAATAACTGCTGATTGTTAGCAATATACACACCTGACATCTTATATTCCTTTACACATGTTGGAAATAAATGTTAAAAATCAATAACATGCAAGACTACCATTTCAAGAACAGGGTATGAAATAAGCAAATTTGTGGGGAAAAAAATAGTGCTCTTTAGAACCATTACAAGTGACATAACAACCATGTTTACAGCCCATGCACAAAGTAGACTACAGCATTCTGAAGTTCCATGTCCTACACAATGAAGAAACATTAGGAAAGACTTGCTCTGTCTGTTGTACAACACAATTACAAGAAGACCTTTTGGATCATTTATAGCAAGCTTAAAACTTAAAAGATTATGTCTGCTATGCGACCCAGTTAATAAAGCAAACCCAACCAACTAGCGGAGTCCTCCACCTGGTGGCTGGAGCTGTACGTGCATTCTATACATCACTAGTCCTACTGGGAGAAGCATACACTCAATTTCAGCAAGTCAGGACAAGAGGCAGACCCTCCTTGACCAAGCTCCTTAATAGATGGTAGCTCTCCACTATAAAGAAGCAAAACTGAAGTCATACAAGCATCTGTACACTGTGCAAAAGATGAAGTGTTGTCTTCATAGCATAAAGTATATGAACTTTAATAGACATATTTGAATTACTCATCAAATTAAAAACAAAACACACACACATTTTATTCTTTATATTTACTGCTTTGCTTTTCTAGATATTTCTGCTACTTTTCAGCAGAAGTGCTGAATAAGCCTGTTTATTAATTCCACTTATAACATTGACAAATTTTGGCCCTGAAAATGAATAAACCTGCAGTAGAGGTTTAAAATATATGTCATAGTAACTACATCAATACTACGTTTCCTCTTGTATTGTTCACATTCGCTTATTTTACAGAAATATTCCCAAGTCAGAATAGAAGTATGATCAACACATGTGCACAACAAACTTGAGGGAAACTGGAAAAATCTAAGTAGATTGATTTTTAAAAAAGCTTTTTTTCAATAACACTTGAACAAACTGACTTCCATACCTTGGCAGCAACAATGCTCAGGCCCATCCCATTTTGTTTTTTTAGTGTTACAGTGATAATTTCAGGTTCCTTCCTCAAAGGCTGAGCCTATCAAACAGGGAAGGAAAAAGAAGAAAAAAGACAAGAGTTCATATCTACTGTCAGGCTAGGAAAATAACTGCCAAAATAGTTTGTCTAAAATCAAAACTAAAAAATATGTTTGATATTCTGTTTTGAAGGTAAAATCTCTAACATTTGATTAATACAGCTTCACATCATCAAGTACTACACCTGTGTTCCAAACACCGCCCAAGCTTTGAAGTCTACCCATTGTTTCTCCTTGTCCAATTCACTGAAGAGATTATTACTGACTCACAATTTGAAATATAAGAGGCCTATAAAACTGCAGTAACTTTTAACAAAACCTGAAATTCAGACTTGGTAGAAAGATGAGGGTGATCTACATGGAGCTCAGCTCTTAGTGCTGCCTATCAAAGATAATAATTCTGCAAAGATATTAAGAGGCCAGTTAATTTCAAAAGTAGAGCTATAGCCATGAAAGTTTCAATAAAACTTTACTTCTGAAAACTCTACTTCAAATACAGCCTGAGCCCCTAAAATGTTCAATATACTCCACCTTTGTAACATTGCCAGTTCCCTCTACTGAAAAAGTTGACAGTCTTCAATCACTGAAGCATGTAAATTAGAGCGCCCTAGTCTCATTTTAAAACCTAACTGCAAGTTCCACAAGACACATGACAAAAATAAAAATACAGGCAAAGGAAATTATGTAAAAAAATATATTGACACTTTTTAATTAAGTTCAAGTATTAGAAAAGCAAGCAATTTTTAAGCTAGGAGAATTCTTGCACTCTTGGATGGCAGAACAACAGAATCTGTTCGTACTTTATTTGGGACTTTTTCCATTAATGTAAATGAAAAGATTATTAAACTAATGGAACAAAAGAAATATGCTGGGTGGAAAAGGTAAACCACTTAGAATCTAACTTTGTCATTAGTCTACACTATATTTCTCTCAGTCTAAGAAATAAAGAAACTATTCAAGGAAAATCTGAGGAGGACTGCATAGCCTGGGCAATTCCCCAGACTACCAACAGAAGCGGAATTGAGAAAATAGTTTTGGCTTGGGCAGGGGAAAAAAAAGCCAACAGACCCAAACCAACCAAACACCTCAGAGCTATAAAACCGAACCTTTACCTAGTATTTACATCTAGACATGTTGCACCAAGAAGTGACTCGTGAACTGCCATTTAGAGCACTGTTCTGACACCAAGACTAAAGACTTTTAGAACTCTAAAGCTCAGCTCATGCAATTAAAAAACTCGCACCTGAGAGAAGAATTATTAGATCAGGTTATTTGAACGACCTTACATGGTATTTGTTGCCCTGGATGAATGAAATAGTAGGGCCCACTCATCCTGCATTTCTTTATCAAACCTTTTTAAGGAACTCTCGGTCAGAACTCTACCTTTAGCTTTTTGTTAGTATGAGAAACAGCAAGTACCTGGTGTATCTTCACATGAATTTTTCCACTAGCTCTAAAAATGCATTTCTTTAGAGCAACATAGGGAGGAGGAAGAACATCTCTCAAGAATGTCTCTGCTATATTTGCCTCAGTGAAATGCCCATTTACCAAGATACCAACCCTCCAGAGGCTGGCTTACCAGTTCAAGACTGGGCTCTGCTCTACCAGTCATAGAGGTTTAGGAGATACTCTCTTCTGTAAAGTAAACATGTTCTTTAGGCCACTGCAGCAAGACTGCATAATGTTATCTAACAAATGTCAGGTTCTGAAGAGAGTAAATGAAGCTTTTGAGCATCTCCGAACAGTGAGGGGCAAGTAGTTTTCATTAAAGGCCATGGGGACATAATTTTGTGTTTGTCTTCCTGATTTAATTGAAATATTAATTATAAATATGAAGCTATTTCTCTTCAGATGCTCTAAACATTATTTCACATAAAGCCACCACCTCTCCAAAAGACAGTTGTTCTGTAACTTTTGATATTTTTGGTTATCACATACCCCAAAGCTCCTCCTCTCTCCCCAAAAAACAATCCACCACGAAAAAAACACAAAACAAAAAACCCCAAATCCTACAACAGAAGAAAAAGCTACCTCGCACTGAAGTGAAACCTTTAATTAGTAAACATAATGAAATTAAAAACAAAAGAATTTTTCCTGAAAACACAGCAGACAACAACTTATTACTAAACATTTAATTGGTAACTGCCAGTTATAAACAACAACAGCCTGCAACTCCACTCAGATCTAGTTACAGATGCACATCCATATATATTTTTGCCTGTGTTTAAAGGAATTTCTTCACTGTTTACAGCCAGGGTAGGGGAACATGACAAAGACTGCTTACATGAAAGTTATATCGTGCCACATGACGACTTGGAAAAATCTGCAAATAGCTCCTTAAATTCACCAAATCACTGAAGAACTAAATGTTTAATGACGAAGCCTGCTCTTCCTTAACAAAGAGTAAACCTCACCAAGTAAAACACAATGGCTTGTCAAGGTATCAGTTCTGAAAGTTACTCACTGAATCAATACTTACTAGCTCAGCATTCTCATGTGACAGGTGACTTTCATAGTCTGCACCTTCAAAGTATATTGTCCACGTGCCTGGTGACCGCGGATGAGGTGTTAGCCTGCAAAAACCTAGAAGAGAAAGTACAGCAATACAGTCACGGTATTTTCTCAAGGGATTAATTAAATTAAAATCAAACAGCCTGCTGCAAAAATAATACCAAAAAGCAGTATTTATTTGCATTCATTAGTAAGTTGAATCTTCTGTCTTAGATGCCATTTATGTGCTTGACAGCAATTTTTTGGTATCTACAAAATCCTATAGTTGCTCAGTTGCTGCTTCTGAGAAATATGTATTAAAAAAAACCACTGCAAAGCTCACAGAAAACTTTTGGGCTGTAAAATATTGCTTGCACCAGCCAGACTCAAGAAACATGAAACACAAAGTCATCTTTTAGAATATAAACCACTAGAACCCTGAATAAGACAGCACCACAGAAATCTTTGGCTTTGCAGAGAGTTTAGCTAACCAGTCTCAGCATAGATTTGGCAGAAGCGAAGCTCTGCCTGGACTCATTACTTTTTTTTAATGCAACTATGCAAGTAAAAGTGGTGGGTTTTGTTGCTGTTTTTTTTGTTGTTGTTAATCAAGCAATTCATAGAATTTTGAAAAAAGAAGCCACAGCAGCAGAGAGATAGCCAACACTGTCCCCTAAATCAGAGACTGTGAAAATCCACATCACAGTCCATTTACAAATAACTCCAACCAAAGAGATGAGATTCTGCTCCTCACAAAGATCATCTTTCAGCAGTTCAGTTCACACTGATTTACTGCAAATCTGTCCCTTGGCATAATTTAAGGGATATCTCAAAAAGTAAAATTTTGAATGTTTGCATTAAAAAGGCCTGACCTGTAGAAACTATACAGACATTCGTATGGCAAACGAATACTTACTAAGTAACAGATTTATTCTACTCATTTCCTTTAGTCTCAAGACTACATGCTCCGGCTTTAAAAACAGTTTCCTACTTTTTTCTTTTTAACTTAAATATGAGAACGTGTCTTTTCTATAAACTAAATTAGAACCATCGATTGCAAAACTTCACTGTAAGTTGTCAATACCCTCTTTCTCTGTCCTACCTACTATGATATTCCTGTGGAAGTTTCTAAACAACTCCTTTTAAAGCATAAATTTTTTAAGAAATTATGTAACAAAAAAGCTTCTAATAAAATTGAGCAACACAAGAGAAGAATCATAACTTGTTCATTAAACTTTACATGTTCCAACAGACCCCCTGCTTTACTTTCTCAATTTTAAGTCATTTCCATCCAAGAACAAGTAGAGATCTCTTGTGATGGAAAATTTTGTTGGATTACAAATGCCCAAAGCATACATTAATATGTTGATGAATACAACAAGAACTATCTTAAACCTGTGGATTTTTGTATTATATGGAAGCAGCTACTGAGTAAAACAAGTGACTAAACTATTTAATTCACATTAGCTTTAAAAGTTGACTGTGAAATTGCTGAAGTATTAGAAAATTTATACTTATGTAAATTTTTGCTACTCTAGCACCAAAATCCAAAGAAGCTCTGAGGCAAAGGTAAAAAAAAGTTTCAGTAGTCACGAGGACCTCAGCACTGCTTATTTAGAACCTTGAACGGTACAAGAACAAAGGCTAAGGATTAAAAAATGCTGCATACTTCTTAGGAGTTGCAGAAGTAAACACTTGAAAAGCACATCACAGAAAGACTGAAACATACATAAAGGAAAAGAAAGCAGTTTACATTTAACTATAGTATATTTTTCATTCTGTGTTCACCATTCATTGTAAAACAATAGAAGGACTAACCTCTCTGACAGAGTGGATCTAAAAATTCTTGTAAACCACTTGGAACGTTCCTGACAACATCGCAGGAATAGCCATCCTCTGGTAAAAGAAAAGGCAGCTGCAAGTCAGGATCCTCTTCCAGTTGGACTTCTCGGCCATCGCTGCGAGCAAGTTCATCGGCCGTATTTTCTGCAACAGTTACTACATTCTCTATCAATTCCTGGACAGAAGGCAGAAAAACGTTATTATAACTTCCATTGTTGAAAAGAAAAATCTAGCATTAAGAAAACACTAAGACTGCAATATAAAGGAATCTGGAAAATAAATTATCAGCTATAAAACCTCTTCAGCTCTGCTATGTACAATCAGTATACTGCATTGTTTTATTTCATTAAATCACACAAATTATCTAGTTAGAGGATGTAACATAAGCATTCGCTTTTACTTCAGTATTTTTAAAACTTGTGGTGCGTGTTTTTACTTGACGTGAGAGTTGTATTTAAAAATATATAGCAGAGAACCTGCATGTGCAGAGGTGGAATCAGAGGCAGCTTTAAAATTCTGACACCTTGTTGAGTGTATATATACTTCTGTAAGTTCAATTATATAGAAAGGAAGCAACAACTCATGTAAACCAGGATTTTCAGCTCCATCAGGACACATATACACACAGAGGACTAGTGGCATAAACAGTTCCCTAGTCTGGAAGTTTTATAGAACTAATTTAATTCTACATTTCCTGGGAGCTCAGTATAATGTGAAAGATCCCCTAAGGTAGATAGCCATTTTTAAAGTAACACTGTAGAAACACACAGTGCAAGAGTAGAATCACTTAAGGTGCAGCAGGGAACTTCAGTATTACATTTGGTGCACAGCTGTTCCACTTATTATCACAAAAAGCTCTACGAAAACAGTGTATTTTTCACAATGTAACTACTATGGTTGCATGCAGCACACAGTAGTCTTCTTTCTACATTTTACAGAGATCGGTAAGATTTTAATAGGACCTACATTGTATGAACTGAGGAAAATGAATTCTCAAGTTAACAAAAATCAAATTCCTGGCAACTTTGCGAGATGTAAAGGTCCAAGGAGCACTTTGTGTTTCTACATTCTTCTACTTATCCCAGATTACTCAAATGACTCCAAAGAGTGGACAGTGAAAAGGCTCTTCTCACTCTCTCTTCAGGCAGTTCCTCCATTTTTCTGTTACTTTATATATCTTAGGCTGACCTAAGTTTTAGCACGAAAGCATTCAGTTGTTAAGTGGAACAAAAAAAGCCTTACAGGCAACTGTGAGCCTGATGCAACTATTGTATTACTGAAGCACAATGCAGAACACAGTTGAGACAAAAAACCTAAGTGTCGTTCTAATCTGAGTGTTCAGTTTCAGCAAATTTGTAGGGGCAAGTCAGATAAATCCAGCCTGTTTTCAGAAGTGCTCTCTGAGAATGGCCTTTTTACCATAAAAGGTGCAAATCTGTAAAAGAATTACATCAACCTCAAATATGGATAAATAAATATGATTATATTCCTTTGAACAAGTTTCAAGCCTTGAATTTTTTCAGATTTGCCAGCAGTAAGTCACGGTTTGAACATAGAAGTCTTCCTTAGAGCAAGGAGCAAAGAAGTCCCAAATACCACTGCACCGCAACAGGAAAAACTAGACATACTGCAATCCTCATTCTGACACAAAGAAGACCTGTCAAATCTAGCACTACATTTCAATGAAGGTCCCATAATGATGATAATGATGATAATGATGATAATGATGATAATGATGATAATAATGATAATAATGATAATAATGATAATAATGATAATAATGATAATAATGATAAAAACTGTAGAATTCTACCTGTATGTAAACAGGAAATACAAGCTATGTTCTTCAGCAAGAGACTTTCTGCGTTGGTAACCAATATATCAAAATATATTCAGACTACAAAGTCCCCCAAACACACAGATAAGACTTAGAATAGTCTGTTACATCTTAAGTATCAAGATAAAAACCAGTTCTGAAAAAAACATACAAGCTCCATGTATCATTTTGTCAATCAAAGGACAATCGTCACCTGCTTGTATGAAGGGATTCAAGATTCATGGATATTTTACATCCCACACGTCAAAAAAACTTACTGTTCCTGCTTCTTTCATTTGATTTCTACAAATTATCAAACTTCATTCCCTCTGGTTATACACAGAACCAGCTTTTGGGAGTGCTCTGTGCACCTCTCCTCTACCATCATACTGGACTTGATTCATAAATGGTGTAAGGTGCGGTGACACCTCTCACCCGCAGCGTTCCTTCACCTTCCAATTCAGCGTAAGAGAGATTTTCAGTAATATCCTGAGGTTGCAGTCAAGCACACCCAAAGTTGGTGGCCAGAAGCAAGCTGATACCACCAATACTTCTTTATTGAATGGAGAGAAGGTTCATTTTTACTCTTCTCGCACCAACTCCAAACCAATCAACCACACGGTAGCTATTTTTCAGCTGGTGTTTTTACTTTAAGTCTATACTTCCCAGGCATGTTAAAACAGCACAGCAAGTGACAGAAGAGACTTACTGTCGGGATGAGTGGTTCATCTGGAGCACAGTGGTAATTCTGCAACAAAGCTTGTAGCTGCAGAGAATTCAGCTTAAAGCAAGTACTGTTAATATTTGGAACATCTGCATGTGAATATTTGTCCATGGTAAGTAATGTGGTTGCCTGGGGGGAGAGAAAAAAATGTCATAGGAGGAAAATCCAAACCAGAATGAAATCTTAAGTCTTGTTTCTGCATGTTCTTTAGATAAGAGATTGGAAAAGACAAAGCAAGAAGCCAGATTTGTAACAGAAGCAACATAAATATCCCCCAAACAACCACTAAATCTATCTCCTGTACTTACAAGATGAATCAATACTAAACCTATCATAAATGAGGCATATCAATTTTTCAGCTAGTCTTCTTGTGTCTGTTGAGCATAGTTATAGTTCAGTCTTAGAAATTAAACAGCACATTGGCTAAAATCTCTAGTTATTACTATCATTTTTAACTTAAATATCAATGATGGTGAAAACATTTTGGTTTTGCATGCTACCTCAATATTCCAGGACAGACTCACACAAACTACACCTGTCCGCACGCTATTCACAGAATTGCAGAATGCTAGGAGTTGGAAGGGACTCGAAAGATTATCTAGTCCAACCCCTCTGCTGGAGCAGGATCATCTGGAGTAGGTCACACAGGAACGCGTCCAGGCGGGCTTTTAATGCCTCCAGAGAACACAGAATATATCAATAATCTCTTTGAATATGCAGTTATGATGTAATTGTTTATCAGAAATACACACACTCACCTGCACTATTCTGCTCAGGTGACAATCAGCAGCCAATTCTAAACCCTGTTTTTCTGCCCAGGCTTCAATGTGGCCCAACTGCTGCCGAACGATAGCTCCCCAATAATGTGAACATAACCCTGAATCTGGGGCCGTAACTAATCTGTTAAAAAGCCACATGTTGATAAAATGAAACAGCTGGGAGAAGAGCTGTATAGTCAGAGCAGCATTCACTCTACATCTTCGCAGCAGGGACATAGCTCCAGTTAGTGTATGCAGCACGTCATCTGCACAGATAAAACAAAAAGTAAATCACCATCACATACTGCAACATAGAAAAAATTAAGAGACACCCAAGTCAGGCTGGTGAATGCTTGGTGGAACCTACACACATTTAAATTATACAGACTTTCAGAATTAATTTCACTGCTCCATGGTTTCTAAGATTGAGCAACATTAAGCTGATAGCTGAAATACGCTTTTTAAATCCTGAAAGGAAAATAAATTTTATGGGGGAAATATTTAGTATGCAAATACATAATTGGTTATATATGACACTTGAATCATGTCCTCACATGAGCAATCTCATTTTTCAATCATTTTTAAGAACAAATTAAAGACTTTACATGCTACTGCCTCAAATGCATACTGTGAATATTCCATAGCTCTTTGCAGTTAAATATCAAACTGTACTCAAAAATTTTAGCAGAAATTATTTGCATTCCACGACGCACGCAAAGAAGTGCGGAACACACGTCCTGTTTACACATTAGCTTTATAAAACATTCAAATTTCATTTTGCCCATCAATTCACTGCAATATTATGCAAGAAGCATAATGGACTTCCTGTTAGCTTCAAAATAAGCAAACGCCCTTATATGCCTCCTGGTGGAATACATTGATCCAACTTAAAGATTTATCTCCCAGTCTTTTCAGGCAATACTTTTATCTGTAATCTCTATTGAAGAGACCACCAAATTAATTTCTTCAGAATTGAAACACCGGATTCTGTCTGAAAAAATTATCTGTGTAAGACAGAAATCTATAAAGCAGCATAAAAAACCCAAATGAAATAATGAATATCATCTGTCTTTATTCCAATATCAGTTTGCTACTTTTTCAGTGCTTATGTCCTAGCAAGTACTCTCTCTTACAGTACAGGTCACTAACAAAATATCCATACATCTTTATATTCTCCCTTCAATGTTCAACACAGGAAAAAAAAAAAAGCAATCAAAAAAAGATTCATATCCAAAAGACCAAGAAGCATATATGAGTTTTGTATAAATATTCTCTGTAGGTGAACAGAATTACTGTACTTAAAGCTCTTCAGATCACCTTTATTTTAATTATTCAGAATGTCACTATTTTCTTAACTCTTCCTAACTTTTTATCCCTAGTTAATCCCTTCAAACTTCAATATTGTTTATGCTTTCCATTTTCTTCAGTCATCAGATTACTGGCAGGACAGCATACGTGACCAGAATGCCCTCGCGTAATACAGAACCACCTCTGGAAGCCGACATTGCTGTAAAGCGTATTTCATGTGTTGTGGCAGGGATCTTTGGCAGGAATCTACAAGGTCAGTCAGCTTAACCTCAATATCTGGGAGGTACTTTGTCAGATTCTCCCATAGTGCCCTTACAGTGAAATTGCTGAGGTAAGGGCTGGACAAGCAGGTAAAAATGTAAGGCAGAGAACTGGCAGGACCACTGCAGTTGGTGGATTTGCAGGTATGAAGTTAGGCTGGCAGTCACCTATTAGTGGCTTCCCTCATGGATTGAAGCTGGGATTGATACCATTTAATGACTTTATTAATAACCTAAGCAACTGGAGGGAGCGCATTTTCAGCTAATTCACAGATGATATCAAACTGAGGGGAAATATCGATGCACTGAAGTACGGCAGAATCTTTCAGCAGGGCTGAAAACTGGGTTGGAAGAACAGACGCACAGGGACTTCATGAAGTTCAAAGGCAAGTGCCAAGTCTGGCATCTGGGAAGGACTAAGTCTACGCAACAGTATAGCTGCCATCTGGACAGAAAGGAGCCCTGCCAAAAATGATGTAGAGATCCTGGTAAGCATCGAGCTGAATGTGATTAAGCAGCTTGTCCTTGCTTGAAAGGTAGCCAGTTGCATACTAAGCTGTTAAGTTAGCAGCAGTGCAGCTAGCAGGAAGGAAGGAAGCAATCCTTCCGCTGCATTCAGCTCTTGTGATACTGCATCTGGAGCACAGCATCCAGTTTTAGACTCCCCGGCACAAGGAGGACACCAATTTAATGGAGCAAATTCAGCAGGGAGCCAGCACCATGGTGATAAGGCTGGAGAAAAGGACATTAAAAAAGGACAGACAAGCAGATTTGGTTCACCCTGGGAAAAGAGAAGGCTAAGTACACAGCTTATTGCTGTCCTCAGCTACCTAACGTGAGGGTTCAGAAGAAAATCCCTCTCAAAGGTGCACAATGATAGCCTGCAACAACAAGCTAACACAAAAAAATTGCAACATGGGAAATTCCAATTAGAAGAAAGAGAAGTATTTTCAACACGAGGGTAGTCAAACATTGGAATGGTTACTCAGGTGTCGTGGCAACTCTATCCCTCAGAGGAGATTCAAAACTCAACTAGGCAATACTCTGAACAACCCGATCCAGTTGCACCTGTCTTGAGCAAGGCACCAGATTAGACGATATCCAGAAGTTTCATCCAAACTAAATCATTCCATGATTTTTAAACTCAACATATGTCACTAGAATGTCACTGCTGTCCTTTCTTATCCATACAAAATTGATCCAAACAATCCTCAGGGGTCATGGCAACTTAATGTCGTATACTGTTAAGAAAAATTCTATTTATTACTAATTAATTGTACGGTTTAGAAGACACAAGAAAAGACCAAGTACTCCAACCTATTTTAGGCCTCTGAGGATTATTTTCCTCTGGATCATCAAGGAAGGCTGGCATGTAGTTATTAAGCTCCGACTGCAGACAATGAACCAGGTACCTGGAATGCAGGGGCAAAAAAAAAAATATTAAAAATTCTGTACGTGTTCCTTATGAATGCTTCTAAAGAAAAAAGATAACTATCAAGTTACAAGGTGCCTGAAACAGCAGTGTTATGTATATGACTATAAAGACCCAAGCAATACTTTTTAAAAAACCACAGAGACCAGTTCTCCCATAGCTTTCCTAAATATGTCGGAAAAAGAATTATTAGGGAACAAACACAACCACTTAAAAGGCAATATCGCTACCACACTTTTAAGTAAAGGTCATATGCTACATAAAGAGATGCTGTCAAGCCAAGTTTTGGTTCTGTAAGATTGCAAAAACTATTTTTTCCAAACAGAAGTACACTTTTCTCTGGTTTAAAAATCTGCCAAGAGTAGTGTTTTTCCAAAACAAAAAAATCCTACTAGGAGCAAGATCTTGAAATGGTCTTAGACTTTTGTGTAAACATTTTTTTTATTCTTGTATTTCTTTTAACTACAGTGAAATGAAAAGCCTGTCTTAGTATTCTTTCTCTTCTAATAATTAAACACTCTTTAACATTGGTTTTGATAATTCATTTGTACAGTTTACATTAAGAACTGAAACTAAGAGGGAATCAAATTGTAAACATGTATATAAAATATTTCACGGCTTTCTACAACTTCCCTTTCTATTTCACTGGTACCATTTTTAATTAAATACTCTGAATTGCTAGAAAACCACAGCCACGGCAATTTCAGTCAGTTCTGGTGTATGCCAGTTGGCACCATCAAATAACATTTTCAGAGCAGATTTCTTTCTTTCCACGCTTCTGTTGTGCTTTTTTATTTGCCTTCTACATATATATCCTACAGCTCTCCAGGAGCCATTTTGAATCAGCCAGTGTACTTAGGGGAGAATTCACAGACAAGCCACACCCTTTCACACCCAGCCTGCTCATCATGTACAAAAAGCCATTCCTTCCCAGCCACAGCAACAGTCTCTCTTCAGTGACTCTCTACCAAACTGAACTAGCAAGGAGCTGTTTCAAGACACCAGTCCCAATCACTGACCCGTGGCAAAAAGGCAGAGCTTCCTTTGCAGTTATAGTAATTTAGAAGTGCTATAAAAATTGAGATTTTGTCAAAATAGCTACTTGCTATACCCTGTTTGCCCACAGTTCAGCAACAGAAATAATAATCTGTGGGAGTACAAACAAAATGGTTTGGTGGAATGCCATTCAAAAGTTCAGAAAGCAATGACAAGGTTTCACACGCTACATTCACACACTACGCACTGCTCTCTCGAGCAGTACAGGCCCCCTTGAAGCTAAAGAGGTAAACCATGGTTAGGTCTTCCAAGGCTGCCATGCTACAACAAGAAGAAAGGAATCACGGAATCACAGAATCACAGAACATCAGGGGTTGGAAGGGACCTCAGAAGATCACCTAGTCCAAGCCCCCCGCCAGAGCAGGACACACAGGAAAAGGTTACATTCTGTGCTATTGCAGAAGTATGAAAAGACTATTTAAAACAGACAACCTGCACATGGGGGAACGCTGGGTATAAAGTCATCCAAGGTACAGCGGGACTCCTCCAAATGCTAGTTTCCGAGGCACAGATTTGCTGAGAAATACTTATGTAATAGTGGCTGGGGTGGCAGGAGGCAGATAAATATGAACAAAAATTAAGCCTTTCTTGTGGATTAGCACTGTGCTCCCTCAAGGTTATTATCTTTGTTTGAGAACCCTTTCCTCAGGGGACTTCCCTTCCCATTGGATACTTTGTTCAGTTTTCTTTTAATCGGAACTGTAACTGCCTGAGCTGCTGAGCATAGGTTGATTTTACACCAAGCCAAAACCTGTCTATGTTTTTAAGAAAAAAACTGTGCAAAGAAAACCAAATCACTGTGCAAATTGTAATTTATGCAAATTATCAAAGTAAATTATAATTAGAAGCTCTTAAAGAGTGCAAGGTTCGTTACTTCAGAGACCCATAAATTATTTAAGCCTATGTATTTATATTAACAGCAAAAATAAACTTTCCTCACATCTCCATCTTAAGAGAAAACAATCAATACAAACTAAATTTAAACAACATTTTTCTAAATTCTTTATTGGCAGCCTCAACTATCAGAAGAACAGCTAGCAGATGAAAGTTCTTGCATAGGCCAGTGATCCATATTATAAAACAATCTATCTAAAGAAGTAAGTCTAGTCTCTCCTACAGATCTTTCTCTCAGATATTTAACAACATGCAGAAGACATTACTGCTATACTAAAGTTTGGCAAAAATGTAAAGATATTCTAAAAGCCACAGAAACATATAACATGTGAAACAGAAGTTTGATAGCCTTACTTGAATGCCATTTGAACCAAGTGTGCCAAAACATCTTGTGCATCCACAGTAATTCGGCTAAGATCTCTGTCTTGCTTTATGAAATTCAGTAACTCAGATGCATTTGCCATCCAAAAGGCAAGTGCCCCAGCAATATTCTTCTGTTTCTGTAAGCAGAAAGAAACAAGAAATAATACAGGGAAACAGTCTTCTGATAAAGCACAGCAGCTTAAAAAGGCTCCAAAAGATAGACCAGTACCTTTTCCCATTTCACCAAACATATCTCAGATACCAGATATTCGCAAAACGTTTACGTAGAATATTGCAATTGCTGTAACTGGCAAGTTCAAATTTGAACACGTTCACTGAACATACAAGGTTCTCGTAAATCGCCAATAGCCGTATCAATAAAGCCATGACATGAGCATCTAGTTACACGGGACTAGGAGCTTAGCAGAATGCAGTATCTGGTAATCTGTGCACTTGTAAGCGCGTATTCACTACTGCCCACTGCCACTCTGATACTGCGCTCACTGGCTGTGACACCAGGTGATTCAGTATCAAGTACTGATCTATCTCACCATCTCCCGACCACAAATGCCAGGCCAGGCAACCTCAGATGAAATCCAAAGAATAGGAACCACAAACAACAAAAAAAAAGAAAACAAAGGGAAGAAAAAGAACTTTGGTCATTTCATATCCACGTTGAAGTGCGTTAAGCAGAAATTATGGAATGCCATAAAAGTTGCAAAGTCAAAAAAGGATTTTAGTACTGCATGTTCCAGTTGCTGAATGAGTGTTATGAACTGTTCAAGTCCAGCTGTTTGAGTATTGTATTTTGATATGGAAGCAGCATGAGAAACTGAGCTAAGCCAACATAGCTAGGATCAGTTCCCAGCAATATATCCTACCTGATCAACCTGGTCTACCTCCTGGAGAAAAACGGACGAAGGAAATCAAACAGAATAGAAGAAAGAAACTTGTGAACAATCATGATAGCTTTAGAAATCAAACACTAAATATGAAGGTACAACACATGTTCACAGGTATACACAGATGCATTAATCAGTAGCTACGATGCAACTGAGCCCCTTTTTAAAAATGGATTATTTTAATCGGACTAGTAGCACAACAGCTAAGAACTGAAGCGCCCACATGTCACAATTAATTCAAGGAATGCCCTGTACCAGTTGACATCCCAGGCTAGTTGGTTATTCCACGCTCAGTGCACCAAAGAAACCCCGCAGAATTTTTCGTGGGCAATGGGGTAACTAGCCATCCAAGTAACAGATCCAGGGAGCTATTTGCCCACACTGCTGCAATGAAGACAATGTACAAACAAACACAAAGGGGGACAGAAAATCCCCACCAGGAAAAAAATAAAACAAACAACAAAACACAGGAACAAAACCAAACAAAAACCATAAAACACCTACAACAGATTTAATACATGACTTTTCAATTAAAGAACAAAAAAGGTTGTTTTAACAAAAGAGAATCAAATGAAATACCACACTAAGCTTCTTAAATGCTGGTACATATAAGCTACTCTGAGTTTAGCAAAACAGAACTGAAAACCAACAAAACCCACCAGGTATGCTTGTCTGATTATCTAAAACTGAGCTTTTAATTCTTTTTGGCTGTCTATGCAGACTGCTCTCCCAAACCTGCATCACAGTGAGCTTAGATGCAAAAATCTGAGGTGTCATTTACTGTTATTATGGTCATTTTATTAGACCTCGAAAAAACTCAAATTGCGGCTGCTTCTTTGTTTCTTCCCCTTTCGAACCAAAGCACTATGAACTGACTGAAGATGTGCTGGCACAGACCAAAAAGAAGACATATCTTCTACAAAAAAATGTTAAAATTTGCAGAGGATCTGAAATGCCACAGAATGATTTGGAAAAAAAAAAAAAAAAAAAAGTCAAGACACAAACAATTCTTATATGAATTAAGTCTCTAATCCTAGATTTTAATTATTGAAAACACTGATCCTGTTCATAGGTGTCTCCAATTTTACCCCTATCTCATATGAATTCTTCTTAATATTTGCAAAGACTACAGAAAGTCACAGCCTTAATTTCTTAGCAAGTACTTCTTAAAGTACTTCTTAAACTTAAGAAAGCCATCAAGTCTCCTTACAAACTAGGCAGGCAAAATTAGAATCTAAACAATTTCTTTTACTCCCACAGTACAGCACAGGAGCTAAGCACCTTCCCTCCCTCTACTTCTGCTTTGGGTGCCTTTCTCCCCTTGCATTCCACCTGTCTTCTCTGTCTTTTGCATCCTCAGATCCCTTTCAGTGCAGGCAAGCTCTACAGTGGAGACATACTAAAAAGCTATTGTGATACAGCAACTTATTACAGGGTAATTTAACTGTGGCAGTCATCAACAGAACCTGCTTAGAAGAAGTATTTAGACTTCGCTTACCTAGTACTGTTTATACTTCACAAAGACAGGCGCAGGCTCACGACATTTTCCTGGCCATGCTTTAGAATTAGTGCATTTCTTTGTCTCCAGGCCACTAACCTTCAAATTCATTGAAATTCTACTCTTTCATCAGCTGTAATGTTCCCCCTTTGCTCCAGCAGTGTAACATTTGAAAGAATCTCCTCCCAATTTTCTTCAATCTCCCTCTTTTTTCAGTTACTTTCTTGCAACTAGATAACATCTTTCACAAACCACAAATGGAGTGACCATTTCCTTGTTGATGTCTTCCTTAAATTTTAGGGTGTTTTTTTTTAGTTGGTTTATTTTTCAAACTTGTGTTTCAATCTACCTCTATGGCATCTTCTAGCAACTGCGCGGTTATACATACTAGTTCAACACAAAAGAATGCAGAACTTTATCCCTGCTTTCCCACTGTACTCATCCTTGTCACCCCAAGTCTTTTTGGGGCCACTGTTACTACTTCACATTAGTTATAGACACTGAGTTCCTTTATTTGAATCAGCCCCGTAACTTGCAGGCTGCATCTGGAGCCTACCCTTTCATTGTTTACTGTTCATTCTCCCAACTAAACTTCCTATGTTCAGGCTCTTCGCATTTCATGTTCTCACTACTGCCACAATCACCCCTCAGACTTTAATAAAGTCATTCTTCCACTGCCAGATTTGGTTTTGTGGGGTTTTTTTATAGCAGCACCTGAATATTTGATATCATGATATTGTATTTATTTTGATATCATTTCAATGCTATCAAATACTCATTTACCAAGGCATTAAGACTCAAACCAATGCACTAGTTCATGACTTCAGATTCAAATCACCTTCTAACCTCTCTCATCAGCTTCGGAATGTACACGAAAGGCTAGTTTTTGTTTTCTTACTGTAAAGCCAGGTGGAAGCCTGCTGTAACTGCTTACAGAACTGTCTAATTATAACAATCTCCTGGCTGAAAACTCCATCAAATCTTTCCAAAACCTGAACAAAAGCTGAACAGCTTTGATATGCTGTGACTTTTTAACAGCACTCTTGCTGTTTACTTTCCTCTTCTCCCTTAATCAACCTGTTGTGTAACACCTGCATCATAACTTCTCCAAAGCAGGACTGATGCATTTGTTATGCTCGTACAGTGACTGGCATAGCAGGGTCCTTGCTCTATCCAGGCTACTATGGCAGTACTTTGTGAACAAACTTGTGTGTTTCAAGCACCAATTAGTGCGAACAACTGCTATCTACAAGATATTCTTTAATAAGCACATCCAACTTGTTTTACAAGAACTCACAGCCAGAAACACTTGCAAAGATCTTACCTTCTAGGGAACAGAAGAGCAACTTCTTGTCAGAGAAGAGATCTTCAGAGCAACAGCCCCTCCCTAACCTCCTCCTGCATTGCTCAGGAGAGAGTTTCTCACCATTCACATTACTCATTGACACAAAAGCAAAATCAGTGCTGGTGTTAGTCTGACCCTTAACAACAGTTGGTCAAACACTAAGAAAAAGACTAAGAAGGGTTACTAGATGATCTATAAAGTGTATTTAATTCCCCCGACATGTTTTTGCAGAGAAACTCACCTGTATAACTCCTTCCATCATGTTCACCATCTTGTTGACTATTGCAATGACTTTGTGAGTGCGCTCAGTAGGAGTGATGTCAGGTCTGTACTGGCTTGACAATACATACCGACATGTCATATACAAAACATATGTAGGTGACAGCTTAAAATGAACTGTTGAGCTATTTGTGTAATTTATAATGGCAGATAAGAAGGCATCTTCAGCTGTAGAGAAAGAGGAAAAAAAAAAACAACAAACATGTCATGGCCAAAAAAAACCTGAAATAAAACAATTCAATAACTTGGGGCACAGAGGATTTCTTTCTGGAGGAGGAGGGAGGGAGGGAGGGAGAGGGGAGCAACTTGGAGGAATTTGAATTCCAAATTGTTTATTATCTACTACAGTTACTTAGGCACAGTAACAACATATTTTTATATAAAGCTAGAAAATCTTACCAGGAAACATTTCTAGACTATTTTCTATCTATTTGCTGAAAATTTGCACCTTCAAGGGAACAGAAAAATGCAAGTTTTCTCTTGTCTATCTTATTCTTACAAAGCTCCCTTATTGTAGGGAATTTTGTATTAATAAAAAACTGTCTTTGCCTACTCAGAAATATAATTAGTTTCAAATATTCGAACTCTGGACAATCTCTGGTATGATAGCTTTCAACTAGATCTGAAACCTTAAAAACCTAGCAACCAAGTCTAAATTTAAACTTAATCAGTTTTTATATAAAATGGGTTTTGACCAAGATGAAATGAATTATCCGGGACATGGAGAACTACATAGAGGAGAATGAATTTAATGTACTGCTGAAAAGATGGGTTTAACAATAATTTCACAGCTAAATTTGAATATCTGAAGATAAAAAGTTAAAATGCAAACAGAATTAGGTATGCACAAACCTGTCTCAATACCCAAAGTGTCTATTCACCGTTCCCAACAAAACAAATCATATTGTTGGATTAGTGACCGCCTGTTTAGCCACTATTCTTTTCAATGTTTACTTAAGTTATCCCTAATATTTCAGTCAGTTTGAAAACTCAACACTATAGAACAAAATGCCAACAGGCTAGCATCATAACTTCACAATTTACTCACAGCTTTCCCTGAATTCAATACTAGCAGGTAGTATCAGTTCCGGTCCATGGGTATCCTGAGATCTAAAGAAAGAAGACAAAAACTGAAACAAACAATCCACACAGGTGATACTAATTCCAGTGTAAAATGACCAATTCCTCCAGAAACACTGGTTCCAAATGCTGACACAATGCCCTTCCCTAAAATTTTCCTTTTTTTTACCTTTCCTCTAGAATCATTCAAGCTGTATTTGCCTGCAACACAGAAGATCAAAATACAGGCTTGAACTGTGGAGTCTGTGATATTAATGAACATCGTCTTCTGCGCCGTGGGGCAGACTGCTGGGATCAGTTTGCCATCTGCCATTGACAGGGTTCAAATAACAAATTATTCGTGGTCACAGGAAAGAAAGTGAATGAGGCCTCACCTGAAGCATCAGCTTGGTTACAACAAACATATTTCTGCTGTCTTTAGTGCTCTCAAAACCAACAAGAACTTGGTCAACTTATTTGTCCTTTCTTCTGGTAAGGAGGAAAAGGAGGTAAAATCTTGCCGCCACCTTACCTTTACCCTCATCTGGCTGTTTTTATGCCAGATGCTTATTCCATAAGCCCCACAACTACGTCCTCACTTAAACTGACTGCAGCACTCTTTTGTATCGGTACTTAGAGAATTTACACAGGAGAAAAATGAACAGAAAATTGACTTTTCTGGCGTCTACAAAAAAAGTTAAGCACGTATTTCATTCCTCCCTTAAGCAAAAGCATTAAATGAGCTCTTCTCTAGTTAGGCACCTATTTTTAGGAAATACGTAGAAGCTTAACAACTTCTGCGTGCAATAGTCATTTTTAACCACATGTAACACAATAGGTAGCTTTCTGCTTTCCCCAGCAACTTTGATAGAGAAAGGAAAGTAACAGGGTTATATAAGCCTCATTTTCATGAAAAATTTTAGTTATGCCACAAAAAAGAGATAGTACACTGAAGGCTTTTATTCAGCTATCTCTTGCAGTAAGAACCTGCAGTAAGAACAAGGTAACTTTGAAAGGTGATATCAGAAGATCTAAAACTAAATTTTAGCATATTCAATCAAAAAAATAAGGGTACCTTTGGTCTGGGGTTTTTTTGGTGGGTTTGGGTTTTTTTATGTAACTTGCAAAATCTAAACCAACAGAGAACTCAGTTATGCCATCTAGGTAATGCTTCACTGTAAAAGAATTCAGCAGAACAAACTTCTGGGGAGCCAAAAGTCAAAAAGCAGCAGGTAGAACAGGGCATTATATAACTGACAGAAATTTTTGTACCTTTCAAACATAGCAGCATACTCTCTTTACAAATAGTACTTGGTGTATAAATTATAGCATTTACTCTGGGTTTATTGCTATAAATTTAAGTTGTACTAATTTCTCACTACCTCCTCACTGTCAGAAGTGCATAGTCTTCATTGAGAACTTAATTACTTCCATATGAGAATAACTGGTACTCACACAGCATTATCAGAATAGAATTAGTCACAACTCCAGTGGAATTTTTAGTCGGTCATCACAGGAATGGTAATAAGAAAAAGAAACATTTCAACAAAGCGCCTGGTAAACTCGTGACAGATTGCAGCTGATTATTTATTTCCTCCTCTTTAGAACGAAGAGATGACAATCCCTTGCAGCACAAAGGAACAGCATTCTCAGTCTTCTCTCCAATGGGAGAGAAAGTGGCATGAGATGACAACAGATATGGATTAGTATTGTTTTTAATTAAATTTGTTAAATGACTAAATTTTATTAAAAGACGGCTTATAGAATTTTGGAAGCTGGCTTTAACAGAGATATGAATGTGAAGTAGAAAGAGGAAAGATTTCTTTTTAAAATGTTCATTTAGTTTTACCTGTAAATCAGTTCTGTAGCAACAGATCCAATAAGTTTTAGCTATCTACAGATGTAGTCAAGTTTTAGCTACTTTAATATTAGTTTCCCTCAGCTAATGTACCTTCTTCTGCCTTCCTTAATCAAACATAAAAGAAACATTCTTGTAACTAAGCTTTGCAAATCGGAAATTTAAGTTAAAATAACTCTGTGCTTCTGATACGATAGCAGGTAGTCCTCATGCTTTGTTAACATATACTTCAAATGTATCCAGTAACTCTGTGCTATTGCTTTTATAGAAGAATCCTCCCTGTGGTGATGAAATTGTCTGAGCTAAACCAGTTTGTAAGTCTACTCGCAGTAAGCCTAGCAAGGCCATTAAATATTGATTAGAGGTTGCTTCCTCTCTAAATACAGGTGTCAGGTAATATTACACTTGAAAATTGCATTAAAAAGAGTAATACATTCTCTAGATACTTCCGTGTTTTCCTAGATTAACTGTCTAGGATAAACTGCATTAGCAAAAGCCCCAAAATACCCTCTGTTCCTGCGAGGTTGTTTTAGCCAGCATACCATCCACATATAAATTTTGTAAGACATGTTAAAATTAGGAACCAGGTAAATGTTTTTACTCCATTAACATCTCTTCTATATCGCTATTCTAACTTCCAACCAAATGCATTTTTAAGAACTCCTGAAGCATATCCAAGTAAAAAAAAAAATTATCTTTCTTTTTTATTTTGTGCTTGCTTATACTAATTGAAGTTGGCTATTTAACAAGGATGTATACCACAATCCTTAACTAAATAGTCTTCATTTTCTATTTCACAGAAAGACTTCTCAGTCAAAACAACCATACCAAATAAGTAAACTGGAGTTAAGCTCTTAACTTTCAATTATCTTTTTTATAGAGACCAGGGATGAACAAAATAAGGTAGCCAAGGTCTAATCTTTGGTCTTTGACTCATGCAGTGAGTTACTAGAAGAACATCTTATTTGTTTTATTATTCACCTCTGAACAGCAGTGACGAGCACCCAAAAAAAAGAATAGGCAAGGATACTTAGTACAGAGGTGGATTAGTTGCACAGCAACAAGAATCTAGAACTGCTCAGTGAAGATTTTTCAGTTTTTCAAACTAACCTAGCAGTTAGTTCATGATTACTGTACTTAAAGTTCACAAAATGAGACCAGAGTATCCCAGAGGAAGCCTAACTAAAAATTCACAAAACACATCCACAAAGGGGACAAATATAGTTTACTTGAGCAGCTCCTTGTCTGGCATTTCCTCATCTAACAGCCTGATTTTGCCAATTTGTTAATCCTGACACAGTGAATATAGCTGAGAAAGAGCACATGATAGAAATGCTGTTACACTCTCAGTGTAACTACAAAACACATACACAAGAGATACAGAAATAAAATAACAATGCCAATGCTGGCGATAAAAAAATATGTCTCCAGTTGCAGCTATCACAAATCTAAGTGTAATTTGGATGCTCCTCTAGAAATATCTTATGCACACAGGTACCAAGGTGAAAAAAATCTGCTGTACAGCAACAGTAAGACTAGCATGCATATTCTCTTCAGAACGAACTGAAAAAGTTTTTAAAAAACAAAATAAAGACAAGATCCAGCTCATAAATGGCTATAAAAAACATAATAAAGACAAGATGCAGCTCACAAATGGCTGTGTCTATAGCATAAGATAACACTCTTAACATGTGCTCTTGCAGAAAGGTACAAATACAGAAATTTAATAATCTTCATAGACATACAAATGCACAGATAGAACTCAAGTAATATTAACAGCAGAAGTCTCAAGAACTTCTGACAGGCTATACAAAGCTCACAAAGAAGTTCTTTAACTTTTACAAGAGAAGAAAATTAGAGATAAAACACTATGAATTCAATATGGAATTAAAAAACTTCAGCAACTTTAATAAAAACAATTCTGAAAAAGACACTTGTGATGTCCAGGCACTGTAACAAGAGAGCACAGAGAAGTAAAGCTGTATTCTACTGTAGCATCACTGAAAGCCATTAAAAGATGTCCCTGCTACAAAACAGGAGAACATCAGGAATTCAGTCCAGATGGAAGCAGAATTTTCTGCCTTTTTTTTTTTTTTCATTTTTTCTACCACACATCTCTGAACTGTTTTCTGTTTACTGAATAGTAAATGCACCTATGTACTATAAATGTACTAGAAGCTTCGTGCTAGAAACTATGTAACTTGCATCACTGCACTTTTTACACTGCAGCACGTTTACCATATTTTTCATCCATTTATCAGAGCAGTTCATCTAAATTTAAAAGCTGATGTAATGAGACAGCAGCACAATCTCTTATTTTTCTTAACATTTAAAAGAAGTTCTTTTGAAAGAATCGCTGAAGTGGGAAGGGACCTCTGGAGATCATCTGGTCCAACTTCCCTGATCAAAACAGAGTCAACTAGACCATGTTGTTCAGGACTTGTCCAGTCAGGTTTTGAGTATCATCGATAGAAACTCCACACCCTCTCTGGGCAATCTGTTGCAGTGTCCAATTACTCTCACAGTAAAGAAGTTCCTCCCATTAGGATGTGGAAGATTGTCTGGCTGTAGGGAGCATGAGGGCACAGCCTTCACTGCGACACTTAATTGAACATTGGGATATGCTGCCCAGAGAGCTGGCAGAATCTGCCTTGCTGGAAATTTTCAAGGTTCCATTTGACGAGGCTCCAGACAACCCTGGATAAAGCCCTGCTTTCAACAGGAAGTTGGAGCACACAATATCTAGTGGTGCCTTTCAACTTAGGCTTCTGTGTAATTATTTTATTTTCTCTCTAGAGTCCAATGTCTTGGTCAGTTTGTCAGAATGTATTTATGAAACCAACACCTGGGTTTCTACAGTAAAGAGAAAGCTCAGAGCAGATCTTATCAGAAAAACACATCCATTTTTTTCCACTATGAGGAGTAAGGATTACACAATTTCTTACCTGCTTTCTTGTCTGCGGTAATCTTGCTGCTGTTCTATCCTAATCATCGGCTTCACCATCCCTCGTTCAGCTGTGCTGGACGCCGTTGATGTCCTGTCACCATCTAGCCTGCTGGTGCTCTAAACCAAAACAGCAGGACAGGTGCTTAGCATGCAAGCCTTGGATTAGACAGTATTTGTGCTTGGCACTATTAAAATTGTGCTTGGCACTATCAGAAGTGTCAATCTGAGGCTTGAAAAGAGATGGGAAAACAGAAGAGCACAGCTCAGAATCCAGCAGCTCAGCAGGTGTTTTAACCACAACAAAGCAGAGAAGATCACACTTGCAATTCAGGAGACAAGGGCCAGCTGGGAGCAGCTATTTGTTAACACATTGCAAGAACACATAAAGACAGACATCTGAAATTTTCATTAGAAGTCACATAGTTATCAATTCAAAGAATGAACGGTTAATAAAAAATTTAGCTAAGAGAGAAAGTTAGACATATTAACAGATTTAAAACTGGCTACACTCCCCTACTCTGCTTCTGCAATAGCTCCCAGTCTCTACTTTATTGATCCTCATCGTAATTTATTCTGTTATGGTAACTCTGCTCTGTTAGTGCATAACTTTCCAGGACAAGAAGTCACAATTCCAACTACGCAACTTTTTATGTATAATTTCAATTGTTTTCTTTCAGCATCACAAGCTCCTTAATAGGAAGTTTTTAATTTCCAGTTATAGCAAACTGTACCAGAAAGGGGAAAACCACGCTGCTTTAAGCAGCAAAATATGTAGCAATTATTTTGCAGTATAAATAGTCGGAAACAAAACATGAGTAAAACGTGAAGTGTTTCCACATTTCCTACAAAATTTCAAGGACTAAATAATTTGCTTTGACACCAGAGAAGATCCAAAAAGCGCATCTCAAAACAAGAGTTTGAACAAAATAGTTTTTTCAGTACTGCCATGCCAATCCATGAATCACTTTTCCTCACCAGATCTCAGAGTACTTTAATGGAAGTTATTGTTACCCTTTTTCCAAATAGAAAAGCAAACTCAGAAGAGCAACTGCCATAAAACAAGTGAGTCATCAGTGACTTAGCAAGATGTCATGCACAGTATCAAACAATGCAACTCAAAAAAACCCAACAAGTTTTCCCAAGCTTCACTAATAGTATCTTTCTAATGAGTACGAAAAGAATATGAGGTATACTGTATAATAATGTCAGAAACTCCAATTCTGAGCAATTTGGAGGCATTTGAACAGTTTACAAAGTTGGCGAGATTTTCTCTCCTTCCAAAATATTACTAAATAAATTCCTATCAGAGGTGTAAGTGACATAAGAAGCATTGTCACAAACAAAGCTATGAGGAAAGAAGAAAAATTGAATTGGCAATCTGTGGCAAAAAAAAAAAAAGTCTAACAAACACATTCAAAAGCCAACAGATTATTATTAATAGCTACACGCTGCCAAACCAATACCACTACATTTCGTTACAGGTGTTTTAATTCTATAACAGTAGTATTAAACATAAAAGGAAATGCATCCTTGGGAGGACTACTACATTTCATACTGCTGAAATAATTTATTATCTTGTTTAGTCTGAGGCATGTGATCATAGCACCAAGGCATTAACCACTCTGTCATTTTACTCTATTTGTTTGCTCTTGGAAAATGCAATTCTGGCCCAGAATTTACTCATAGAAAGACAGTGCAGAAAGAAAGCAAGGGAAGATTATCACCTCATGAAATGCTTATGACTGGAGAGACAGTTTGCTTAGTCAATGTGTGTACAGGAGCTCTACTGAAGTCAAAAGTCACATTCATTAAATTTTAAAAGCCTAGTTAAACTAAAATTGCACATCCTTTTCACAATGTGTGTAAAACATTTATTTACTCTATTGCAGATGATGACAGTCATCTGCTACATACATGAGACGATGACATAGCACTTCTAACAAGAATCTCTACCTGCCTTCAACAGATCAGCTTGGAAAGAAATAACTCGAGGTTTGAGGAAATTCACCTTTCTAAAAATATTACTACTCTTGGTACAGAAAGCGTGTCAAATGCTAGTAACAAACTAAAACAGAACAGTTTTGTGGAAAAATAAAACTAAAGCACATAATACCCAAGTCCCCCCACAAGAGTAAATGGATAGGGAAAATAACACTCATGTCAGAATTTTGAACTAACTTGCACATGGGCTTTTATTATTTATTGCTAATTTAATCATAATCACCTTGCTTGCTGGTAACGCTGTTCCACTGTGAACATCTCCCTCCAGATCAAAAGTGGTTTCCTGAACAGCTCTAAAAGTAAGATAATATTTCAAGTACATTTTAGACATTATATTGTTAAGCACTTAACAAACAAACAATAGAGTATCAAAAACTAGTACATTAAATTTCAAGAGGTATACTATGAGTCCAGTTAATATTCACTTTTTAAAAACATTGTATCAATTCTTTATGTAAAATCACTACAAATACTTATAAAGATTGCTTCCTTTAGAAACACAGAAATAGTTACATTTTTTCCCAGTCAAGTGAGAAAATATAAATATACATAAGCATAAATAACAAATATAAAACAACATAAAAATATGTTCAAGGTATTGTATTCACTGCAGTAGACTGGATACAATTTTTTGCTCAGCTCTTCAGTACTAGATCTACAACAATCTTGATAATGAAGTATCTCATAAATCATAGTAATGCATTTTATTATCTGATTATTCTAAGGGTTTTAAGGTTCGATTGTTCAAGCTGCAATAGCCCTTGGCCAGAGACTCTGCTGACCAGGTAAAGCTCTGCAGTAGCACAGCGCCTTCACAGTTCACTGTGTAAACCCGTGAGAGCTGCTGTTTATTGATCTGCAGGCTAGAGGTATCAAGTACTCCACATTTAGGCAGAAATACTACATGACAGCTGGAAATCTTCCTGCAGACAGGTCCTACAAGCAGCACACTGTGTACTTCCATATTAAAATAAAGAGAAAAAATAATAATGCTTAAAGTATACATCTATATTAACTCAACAGATTATCCACAAGAATCTCTTTTCTTGGGAATCTATCATTCATCCCCAGGTCTATTTGTTTCTTTTCTAAATCACAGTATACTACAATAGTGGCTGCATTTGGACACAGAGAGGATGGTAGAGATGATGCTCTATTTTTTCCATGCTATACCATCTGATTTTAAGATTGTTTCTAAAGTCATTGAACAGAATACCGGAGCCCCTGCAAGTCACTATATCTACAACTAGTATTTTTATTATGCACCTATCAAAAGTACGACTATACAGAAAAACAACTGGTTGAACTTCTGGACTGTTAGTCCTTGCAACACAGAAACTAAAATATATCTGTAATCACACTGTAAAAAGTGGTTGCTATACTGAAATATTTACTTCTTTGTCTTCACAGTTCCACTTTGTGAATATCCCACCGAATTTCCAAATCTTTCCAGTGGAATTTTAAGAGTTATTGTCGGAGAAAAAACAAAATATGGGGCCTCTCTGAATACATTCAGCAAATTCTTTACTTCCCCTGGAGGCTGGATGAACTTTGAAATACATTAAAATAAGGTATTCTGTTGTTTTTAACACAGAAGTGAGTATCAGGTAAACTTGTCTGAATATTTCATATTGAAAAAGACACTTGCTAATCCTAAAAAAAATCACAAGGTGGAGCTCAAGGATTAAAATAGTTTTTACATATTTAATAAAATTTTGAAGTCATACTCTCGTCACGAGATGTTTATAGTGCTCTCATTCTCTATTTTTCGCAAGGCCCCCCTTCACCTTGGGGGAAGAAAGTAAATTTTACTCACCCAGTTTTCTGTCTTGGACCTTTGACCATAAGACTTGCATCAATAGGTCTTTTAGGAATAATATGGTCCTGAGTGGGATCCACAAACTTAAATACGTGAGATGACCCAAACTGAACCTTCATTCCACTTTGCAGCATAGTGGTTTCTGAAATACGCTGACCTTCCACATAGGTTTCGGCATCAATGCTTCTCGGGGTTACAGTAACAACTCCATCCATATTAGTGAGGTCACAATGATGCGGCTGAATTCCTGGACCAAATAACTGGCAATCGAATTAATCAACATGGTAGGAATTAAATTATGCAGCAGCAGAAACTACACAAAAAAACCTGAGCTGCTGTTTACCTTATTTACAAAGCAGTAACTTTGCTTGCTATCAATTTAATGCAGAGGACTAAAATCACTTCAATTTTCCTTGCAACAGAGATAACAAAACACACGTTAAACTAAAATGTGCAGCAGAAATCACTTAATAGAAAGTTTTCACATACACTGTTCACAACTGTTTTCTTCCACTGGCTGTTTTGATGAAACCTCTCAAAATGCAAGAATTTACAAGTTAACTAACTGCACTGATGTGGACTCAGGGTAATGTAAGAGATTCCCTAGCATAAACCTCATACAATGACGCTTTCCACGTTTAAGAAACCCTACCTCGCTCCAAGAGCTTGAGACTAGGACTTGAAAACCATTAAGCAGTTACTGTAACACTGATACGTACCATTTCATCCAGTGATAAAAAAAAAGTACCCTGTTTTCAATAATGAAACCCTTACTTCCAAGGAAATAAATCAGAGTTATGACTATTAACATGAAATTGCAGCAATATTTTACTCTTCTAGCTTTGAAGAGTATTCACAGAATATTTTACTAATTTCCACAACTACACATAACCAGCCAGAGATCAGATCAGTTCCATTATCCAAGATTGCTGTTTTCCCATACCTGAATGGAATTGTCATCAAATTTTTCAGTTCCAACTTCAGTGACACTTAACTGTAGACGATAGAGCTTTGGCTTATCTCTGGAGTCAGAACCATCTGTACAGCAAGTGACAAATAGTAATTTACAAGTTAAAGATCAAATATATAGTATTTCTAAACTGTAATTTAGTTCAGTGTGGCAAGGTTCACCAAAAAACCCAATAAATTAGTGAGTGACATTTGTTCAGTTGGGAACTTCATTGCTCATCACAGTGTAAAAACAAAGCAGACAAGAGCTCACTAAACAGAGTGGCTGTCTTCTACAAGTGCAAAGAACAAAATAATACAGAATTACTATTTTAAATATACTTTTAAAAACTTTATCTACTCCCTTAGTAGTTTAAACTTTCCTCAGTAGTTTAAACAACACAACTTCTGTTAATCTCCAAGATTTTATATATATTTATACCAATATGGGTTTAAAAGATTTAGAAAATGAAGTATCTGCAGATGTCTATAATAATAGTATTTATTGATCTTACTAAATACAGATTATCAGCAATATCTACTGTCAGGTGGTCAGCATGACAAACTTTTTCATATTCATCAGGTACTGAAATAGGGTGATATTAAAAAAGGATCTTATAAAATGTTTACTGTGGCACTTCTGGCCTTATCTTTATAGTCCCAGTGACCTATATTTTTATCTCACAGAAAATGAGGTCAAAGATAAAAGTTTGTCTTCCTCCTCCTCCCAGAAAAATATACTGTCCAAATAGAATAAAATTTTGCAAGATACACCGGATGCAGCACAGGATTTAGCTGCTACCTTCACAGGCTAACATACATGTGTTTTGGCATACAGATAAATCCTCCCCACTTTCCAGAAAATACTACAACTTTGAAGACTGTAAGATACGAAACTAATACTGTCACTTCTGACTTCCAATTTTTCCTCCAAAAGGAAGATACAAAAACAGGATGCAACAAGACAACGAATGTCTTACCTGCCGACACGAACAATGATTTCAAGTCATCCCCAAAAAGCATTAGATAACATTATTAAAGCCATAGCACAATCAGTGATACTGTCTTCAATAGAATACTAGTCATCTTCAAATTTTAAATGGAAGGCAATATATAAACAAAACTTCCATAACTCTAACTGCAAACTCCCTGAATTACTACCAGGACCTATTTATTCAAATCAGAATGCAAGCCACTTAACCACAAAATTTCACTTAGTCTATGAAGTCCTCTACCAATCCTTCAATGAACAAGATTTAAAGGAATTAAAAGTCAACAGCACAGAGCAAAGTTAACAGTTAGGAACTATGCACTGACTAAAACCTGAAGACAGAAAGAAAGGAAGGCACCTGCACAACAGAACAGAAGACACAAAGTGAATTGAGCAGGGAAGACTGTGGGTATCAGTGAAAAATTGTACCAACAGAGTTTGACATTGGGAAAAGTATAATGGGCGCTCCTAGTAGTACGCTTCTCCAGGGGGTGATGTAAAGACATCAGATAGAGACAGTCCACAGACTAGCACTATAAATACCAAAGTGCTGATGCTATAGTAACATCCAGTCACCAAACATATTTAGAATCACTATCATAAAGAAGTATTAAACTATCACAAAAGTAGTATTAAACGTGAGAGCACTCAGTCCTCTAAACATTCTTCAGGCACAGGGATAAGCCTTTTATGAAATCCCAACATTTGAGTCTGTAGACATGCACCTAGTATTACTGTATACTAAAAAAAGGTAATGCTAATAAAGTATCTTCAGCAATCTAAATTGTGTGCATTTGTTAGTATCTATCAATGCTAATGAGAAATTATATGGCTGCATCTCCAGTGTCACCAAATGCAGACAGGTAATACACTACTGAATACATTTGGCTCCTTACTCCCAAGTCTCTGAATTGTTTTTACATCTCCCCACAACTTACACAAGAAAACCTAGAGTAGCTCCTTCATTCATTATTTCTGAACCAAATAAGTCAAACATCTCTTCCCACCCACATCCTAGTTTGGTAAAACTGGCACTCAAAAGATACAAGATTCAGTTTGGAGCCAAGGACCCTTATTCCATATGTAAAAATACTGGAATTTCAAAAGTCAATGGCATAAATGTAAGGGCTAGTTATTTAAGTCTTTAGTTCTTAATTTTTTATGACACTTTCTCCTAAGCCCAGATTAGAAAATACAGTCTACAGTCTAGTGATTTCACCCCTATACCAAATATACTTGCCTGCCTCCTGCCCCATACTTTTCATTTTTGACATCTTAAAAACAACAAAAAACACATGCTTTAAAACCCTCCCACACTTTCTGAAATATTTTGTAAAATGCATGATAAAATATTATGGTTTTCAGATGTTTATTTAAGCATTTGTGTATAATCAATCAATATCAAGTTCCTGCTAATAAATGTTTACTTCACACCACTATATACCCAAATATAGATGCAGGTCATGTAAAATGTGCTTTCAGGTTAGAAATATATTTTAGAATCACAATGTTTCTACTAAGGCAAATTAAGACCATTTTGTTTCTCTGGAGAGTATCAATGAAACAAAACAGAAAAAAAAGTTACTTTAAACCACAGAACTAGATACAAACTTTTTTTTCCTTCCCAGGAAAAGGACAAAATGCAAGGAGTTTCTGCAAGTTATTTGAAGCACACATATAATTATCCATCAGTAAAAGTCAATTTCTCCAGTAAAAGCTATCTTAAATGCTGAAGAGAATTACTACAAATTCTAAAAAGGATGAAAGGCTTTTTTGTTCTAGGGGGAGGGAAGGAAGTTTGCACTATACTACAGTGCAACGTCTTGTATTTCCTGTTTTTCAGCAGCTGGAAGCTTACCTAAACGCTTGGAATGCACTGCTCCATTCACTGTAGGGAGATACAGATACCGCCAAGTGCCCGCTCCCCAGACCATCACAGTCCAAGAAGGCTGTTCCTAGACTTTAAGGGTCAAACTTTAAATTCTGGTGGCTCAGAAAGGCAATACACAAAATCCAAGTCATAGGACTTAGGGTCCAGAATTTGTGGGGGACAAAAAAGGTAATAATGTCTCTGCGGGTTTTTTCTGACAACAATATCTTAAGATGGCCAGTATTCTATTTACGGCACCCATGACTGAGCAACATTATCAGAGCTAAATAGGTGCAGCAAATTTCTATTATTTGGGGAGGGGTGGGGGGTGTTAAGCTTAGAAAATCGAACTGATCTTTTGAGGTCCCTTCCAACCCCTAACATTCTGTGATTCTGTGAATTGGAACACTCCTCCCAGATGTGTCTCCAGGACACAAGCTGTAAAAGCAAGAACTACAATTCAAAAGACCAAGGTAGCCACTACTGAATACATTAAGCTCAATTATCTACCTGACAAAGCTTTTCCCAGTAACATCATACAAGGCTTCAAATAAACTTTGTATGTTTTGTATCTGAAGCAAGTTTCACGAGCTATTTTCGCCCAAGACAAGTGCATACACCACAATACATGAGCATCTGTGTGTACTGCCTATCGCAGACTGAAAACCTGCATTTCAAGAGGTAACCCTCAATCAGAAAGCACATTTTGCCCCCTAACCAGGCAGGAAACAGTGATTTAGAAAAAAGGGAGTTCCAAAGACACTAAATGTACAGTAAAAAATGCTATAAAAACACATAGTGTAAAAAGATACACAATATATTGCTATTCACCTATAGTCACTAGTGAAACAGTTTATGTAAAACCCGTGAAAACTGTGGCTTTCTATGGCTTTCCATGCTAAGGACACAATACAAATAGATTTCACGGCTGGTGTGATGCAGTTACAAGTCAACATTCACACTTCAAATAGCAGCATGTATTCAGAAACAGGCTGCGTAGTGAACAGAAGTGAACAGTCACTGTAAGCACATCATCAACTCCGTGATTCATAACACAAATGTATATTTTTGATCAATAGAAAAATACAAGACGGGCTTCCCTTCATAGACAGATTCACCACTCAAAGGTGAGCCTGACACCACTGTGGACACAACAACCTGACTTCACTAACCCAGTGCTTGAAACAATGCTGGAAGATTGCACTGACTCAAAACCAGACTAAGCCAAATGAAGATCAGAGCTTAGAAAACAAGTAAGTCCAAAGCTGAACAAAAATATCCACAAAAAGGACTGCACCTATTGACTTACCAATTAGGTAAATATATATTTGAAAAGCAGCAGATTTCCTGCATAGGTTCCCAAGCGCTAAGAGTTTACACAGTAACAATTTTAAGAGATTGGTTGGGCAGATTTGAAATGTCGTGTTGAATTTAGGAGGTAATTCTGCTATTAAATTTCAGACAAGATGTGCACTTCCAGCAGAATTGACAATAGTACGTATTTTTTGGTAAAGGAGGATTCAGCAAGGAGTGTGACAGACAATAAAGCTCCTTCAAACTAATGTGTTAAAGTGTCACCACACATGGTGCTCAGAAGGCTGGCCAGGGAAACCACTCTGGCCAAGGCTTTCAAGCTTCTCCAACCTCCTGTAACTCCTCTTTCCAAGTTGTTATACCTGCATGATCTCTGCATCTCCCATTGCTGACAATTCTACAGCTCAGGATTGCTTTTTTTGCAATGAGGCAGGGAGAAAATCCTTAAGGTTTTGGGTTTGTTGTTTTTTTTTCCAAATGCTTTGTAATTTTTATTTCAGGCATGTAGGATAAATCTCAGAGACTCACATCCTAAAAAACTGTCTTTTTGTAATTTTTCTCAGCCTTTAAATATTATGATTGAATAAATGAAATTAATAACACCCCTGAATTTGGCAGCAGCTATATTCACAGATAACATCGACGGTATCATCTATTCGAAGTGCTGCTCTATATCACTTCAGTCCATCCAGCCTTTTACTATCAGATTCATCTCACTTTATTGATTCATTTACACGTCTTGGAAGACAAAAGACATTTGCTGACTGCCACATCCTCTGTGGAACTGTGCAGTATCTCATCTTCAGTCTCTAAAACAGTCACACAACCAGCAACATCAGCTGCTGTGGAGAAGTGTAAAAACAGGAGATACTTCCAGAAGTCAACTTACGGAATTTGTGCAAATGCACAAGGGCATGAAATCAAAGTCTGCCAGGTTCTTCTGCAAGAATACGAACAGACAATGTTCTGACAGAGAGATATTTCTACAGGAGTTATTTCTGCAATAAATACAAGTACCCTGAAATGCACTGTTCCAAAGAAACAGACTGAAGCTAGAGTACTAAGACCTCTTTTTCACACTCAGAGATAAAGATTTAAGAAATTGTACTTTTTTTTTTCCAGTGAGATTCATCCAAATTTCAAGCATTCTACTCAAAGATCTGGTGTTCCTGCAGAGCTCATCTACGCCTACCAGTTCAGCTCACTCTGTGGAACTTTTCTGCTCTCTGGAATAATGACGTTAATTAAACAGAATTCTCAACTCATCAAAGAGTTGAGTATCAGAGGCCTAAGTTTGAACACGGTTTTTTCAACTATTGTACTCTACAGCCATGAAAGTGAGCAACACCAATGGACATACAGTGCTTTTACAGCAATCTAGAAAATGAAATGAGAAAACAGATGCTAAGAAAAAAATAAAAAAAAGGAAAAGGTATTTTAGTAGACATGTCACAATGAAGAAGAAAGTGGCTCTGTATTCTTGTCTATTTGGTCAAAACAAGACATAACTGCAGCAATGGTCTAAACATTATTTCACATGAAAAAATCATCAGATTTCATCTCCTGCATCAAGATAGTCAAACACTGAAAAGCACAATTAAGTTCCACACCATTTATTCAATTCAGTTTTTAATTAGGAATTCAGCAAGCAGAAGGATCAAAGAACACTTTTCTTTCTATGACAACACTGCTTGTAAACCACTCTGTGAAATTTAGTTGTTAACCTTAGCTGGAAGGTTGAACTCTTTGGATGGTAGCATATTCATGATCTATTTGATGTTTGGTCACAGATAGAATAATTAAATGGTGGCTGACAAGACAGATAATTACTTCACAGAAGTGGTCCCTCAGGAAAAAAAAAAAAAGTAAGATAGCAAGGTAGTCTTTCATTTGTCAAAAAGAAACTAAAGATTTACAGCCAGCGATGTTTTTAGTGACTAATGAGAGAACAGTATTAAATATAGCATTACCTTCGTAAGTGTGATAGTTGTAGTAGGCAAAGTGATTCCTTCTCCCTGGGGTTAGAAACACATGCAGAGGACCCAGGTGAAGGCAGCACCAGCAGGACAGATACCATGCAGAACACGCGGAAGAGGGCAGGAAGAGAAAAAGACAGGAAAGGGTGAAACTGTAGCCAGGCAACACTTCTCAGTTTCTAAGGATGAAGTGCATTAAAACTCTTTCAACTTCAGAAAACCGTAGAGAATATCAAGAAATCAGTACTACAAAGCTACTGAATGAAACAATCCTTATTGTTTAGAAAAGCAACAACAAGCTGTTAGAAGGAAAACATGAACAATAGGTCAGTCCCACAGGCAATGTGCAAAGGCAAAGTACCCGGCTTTGCCACCTATGGCATTTCAGAGTGTTTTTCCTCTCAGCTAATGGATGTCTTGTTCCACTGCCTGAGTACAACGTTTTAACAATAAAGCAACTAAGTTGCTCAAAGAGTAAGAATTTAGAGCCTAAGAAATCTACAGTACTATTAAAAGAACCAAAAATATTAATATGCAAATAAAATCTCAGTATTGGAACACAATATAAAATACACTTCACATATTCTGTGTACTGCTAATTTCATCTGGCACTTTCTTAAAAAAAAAATAAACCACAAAACCAAACAAACTCCAACACACTATGTGATCGTGAATTTAACCTTTTGTTTGCAGCTCTTGTCAAAGTTTATAGCATAAATATCCAATTTCAAATTATAAATCACTTGCTTGGATACCTGAATGCACCCAAGTTACACTTAATAGGAAAAAGAGCCACAAAAAACTGAAGCCTCAAACGTGAAAGTCCACATCCAAATCTTTAAACATGTAGACAAAAAAAATTAAGAGAAGTTGCATGTGTTTTACCAGTTGTTGTGCTGAACAATCAAGCTCCCCTGGCTGTTTCTAGATCATAAAATTATTTGTAAATTACAGTGTAGCCCAGAGAGTTGTAGCGATGCCAAAATTCAACCAAGCCTTGATAGCGATTTGAAGGTTCTATGTAGGATGAAAAATATTTAGTTCTTGTCCTTCTAAAAATGTGGGAAGGTTTATGTATGACATTGTCAAATATAACTTACAGGATGAAAAATATTTAGTTCTTGTACTTCTAAAAATGTGGGAGGGTTTATGTATGACATTGTCAAATATAACTTACTAGTTATGCTTCAGTATATTTCTGAATGTAAAGCAAACCATATTTAAGCACTGCTTTTCTGGTTCCAATTCCCAAATCACAAGACAACATGTAAAATTATTTTACTTAATAAGGAGTTTTAAACACCAAAATCCAAAGGAAGTTTAAGATTGAATTATTTTCTTTTCGGTTTTGAAACAACATTATAGCTATATGCAGCTCTACCTCTACATAGCTCTAATTCAGAATTCGACATTGGAAGGATAACTAATGCGGCATTTGCTTACACTGACAAGAAAAACTTTCTTGTGCTTCTAATGAAAAGATCCAGATGACTGTGTAATAATGTAATTTAGATGACAATCAAAATTCTTACCTGGGCTTAATTCTACCAGGTACGGTAGCTTCTCAGGAGGAAGGCAAGAGCCATAGCCAGACCCGTCAACTCTTTCCTTCCCCTTTAATGGCTTTCCATCAGCTATTTTCTTGGATTTCTTTGGGACATAATCAGGAGGCCGCCTTTTCAACTGAAACACTAGTACTCCTAAAACACAATATTATACACGTCCTTTCAGTCTCACAAGCACACATCCAACATCTATTAAATTGAGTTTCGTACGACTGTTTTCAGCTTACTAAGCTCCTGACACATAGTTATTTTTAAATTTGAACTATTTGAAGCGTCTAATTTAGAAAGTTTATGAAGAAAGGTAAAACCCTTCTACTGTCTGAAGGTGTATTACTACAAAGCTCTAAAAGCACCTAGTATCAAAAGTGCCTGAAAACAAAACACTCCATTTGCTTGTATTTCTTACTTTACTGGGAGTCCACACCACGGCTTACAGCACACAAGGCACAAAAAGCTCTTAAAGCTTTTCAGACATACCTTTATCACTAGGCCACTCCCTGAATATCTGCAGTGGACACTCATCATCATCAAGAATAGTTTCTTTAGCACCTTTATCATCAGAGTGCTGAGCACCAGGAGGCAGCATGACCTAGAAAGAAACATCAGTTTTCAGAGCTGTTAGTGGACAATTAGAAGAGAGGATTCAGGGGTATATCTTCCAATTATTTTTGGTTTGCTTTTTTAGAACAAGAGATAAAGCAAAACAAATCAGTAACTTGAAATGCATTTTGCTTTCCAAGACTTGTTCTAAAAGTTTCTCTTGCCCATTGTTATAGTTAAATCACTCTTCCCAGAACATCAGATATGTTTAAAGAGCAAAGAAAAGCAAGTTACACTTAAGGTAGTGAAGATCATCTTCCAGTAAATAAAATTATTCCAATTTCTCAACAGCCAAGGAACAAAAAATATCTGTGGAGGTGATACTTTAAAAATCAAACTGAAGTTTCCTTTATTATCTCACACACTAGAATCAGTCTTTCATTTTGCCAGTGCCATTCAGCTACGGCAACATGGAAGTATCTTTGCAAATGGCAAGATAAGCTGGCAAAGAGAATGTTGTGATACCTCCTGCATCCTTGTCTTGCCCAACCTTTACCTGGTCTACACAAAGACTAAGGGCAGAGACTGGGGCATTTCATACAATTGTTTCATGCGGTCTAGTTTTAAGGAAGAATCAAAACTCAGGATATTTTGGAAACTGAACCACAGACTGTTCATACCCTCTACAAGGGTTCCTATCCTTAGAAGGTAGAGGAAGGGGGAAATCTTAGTTCATGAGTTCTGACTCTAAGGGAGACACAGTTTGTGACTTCTTGCATGTGCGTTGCTGCTCCTCACAGCAATCAAGCATAAGAAACAATGTCAGGCAGCATTACAGTGCGTGAGTACTTTCTAAGTTAAAGATAGGTCGAATAGGTTGAATAAAAAAGTATAACACATTTTCCTACCCCATTTGTGATCCTGACAGTGCTATTTAAATTTATAGACAGCTATAATTTAAACCAACTACTCAAAATTGTTCCCACCCTCTGAACTACGACCCAGGGAACACCCTCTGAAGTACCACAGCTATTGGTTACTGCACCCTCCTATGCTGCAGCCCTGAAGAGGCTTTTCCACTCTTATTTGTCACTCTCTCTCCACATCCACATCAGTGTTAACCAAGTTCTCACAGATTCACCTCAAACATCCTTTCATCTTCTTCCAAGCAGGAAATAAGTACATTTAAGATCAAAAGTATGTAATCAACTCATTGGCCTTTCCCTAAAATATTTTCTATGCAAAACTTGGATAAACATAGGGCTAATTAAATTATCTTTAATTAGATTTTCAACTATACAAGATATTATAAAATGAGGAAAACATTAAAATGTATAAACCAAAGGGAAACAGAAACACATCTACACGCAAATCTTATCTTGCCAAGTCACTCTTTTTCTGTTCCACATCTCAGACTTTATAATCAGTTATAGCTACAGGATAATTTTGATTAGCTAACTAAAAATAACACTGTGTTTCAAGCCTTATTCAACAAGCAACAATTTCCAAACTCCAAAGCCCTGGAGACGGAGAGTAAGTAGTTACAACACAAGAACTACATGCTAGAGCATGTGGACCGTGGGCTGACCAATACTGGACCAGGGAGCAAACCAAAAGAAAACCCAAACACAGTGAAGTTAGAGGACAGATGAGATATAAAGAAATAGGTGCTACTACTTGACTGTGATATTACTTCTGCCTTGGAACTTGGATGAGTATCTGTACTTGGTGCTGGGATTAACGGCAGCAATGGTAAACTGGACAAGGTGAGAGAGGAGGGGTCACAAAACCACTAATCCTTCCATGCTCCCAGCCAGTTATGCTTCCTCCTGTCCTAAGAGTCATGACCCGGTAAATCAGATACATCTCACTTTAAAGAGGTGTGAGACCCAACCTGTGAAAACCCACAAAACACCACATCCGAGCTTATACGGGCCAGGAGGCTTCTCATCATCATGAAGCCATTTTTGGAAACATCTCCACGTTTTAAACAAATACTGCCTCAGTGTCACCGACAAAGATGAAATTCCTATATTTCAGAATAACGGAAAAACATGGAAATGAGGTTATGTTATGATTAGGTTTTGGCTCACGAGTAGAGATTTGCTTTCATTTCAGAAAATAAAAGATGTAGTTAAATATCCTTTCATGAATTTGAATCCATTTAGACTCCCGAGATCAGGCACAGACATCTCCCTGACTTCTGCAACAATGTAGGAAATGGAAACGAGTAAAATCAGCTTAAGACCATAAGTCTTGGAAGCAGGTTGTCAGCTGACAACCTATGAACCAAAACAAATTCAGCAACAGATAATTAGGAAAAATATACTGCACTTCCTCATAATTGCATTCATGAGCATACACAAATTATTACATCTGTCTAAGCTACATTCATTTAAAATGCAGTGAAACATGCAGAAAAGACAAGCTACAAAATTTTAATGAAGTCCATAGCAGCTTAGGACTTAACTTGATCTTTAGCTTTTACTTAGCATAGGGAGTTTCGATGTTTGACTATTTTCTCTTACTACTTTACTCAGCAAACACATTGAAAGTTATCAGACCTATTTTTAACCGAAGTTTCACACAAAAACCTCCATGTTATAACAGATCTTCCATTAGCTCTTTTTTAATTTTAATGTTTTTTAGATAAAATAAAATCACATCTTATGTTTTAATATATCTGATAATTAAAATTAATTAATCCTCAATTTGTCTTACAAGTTGGCAACAGAGGCTCTACACATACTCTTGAAAAACAAGAACAGAACTTGCTAAAAAAAAATACTACTGTCTCATGCCTGTAACATCTATTTCTTTAAAAAAAATAAACTAACAAAAAATTCAAACCAAAAATCAATCACCATGAACTGCCTAGTTTTGCTTGACATTACAAAAACTTACTTATGCCTTATCCTCAAGTAAAAAGAGTATCAAGATAAAACAAAAGTCTAATGAAGATTCTACTTCTAAGAGTAAACTGCTTTGCTGCATGCCTCAAGTCTTATGCCCTAAGCGAATGCGTGCGGGTAGCCTGGAAGACTGTCTAATTAATTTGACATCTTGAGAGATGTGCAGTGAACCCCGTATTACTCACCGAAACGCAAACCAACCAAACGGAAACAAAACTATTGCAACAAACTCATATTTACTCAATTACATAGGAAAACACTTAAGAAGTGAGTGTAAAAGTACAGCCTGGTATGCCACAAACTAGGGCCTGAAAGTAAGTGACTAACAAGAAACTGCCATTTACAATAGAAGTTGTCAATGGTAAGTGTTAAGAAAAATTCTTAAAACGTACATCTTTCAGCTGAAACTTCGGAAGTGAATGAACTTTATTACAGGTACTTATGTAGTCTTATAAAGGTCTTATCACGTAACTTAAATCTATCATAATAGTTAAGCACATGTCAACTGTTTAAGTCTTCTTTGAAGACACCACTGAAAGAGAACAAAACATTTAAAAAACCCAACTGTCTTGGGTTACAATATGTAACCAAAAAAATGTGTAATTCTATTTTCATCTGTTGAAACGGTTTGGAAGATTTTTTATTTTTTTTTTCATTTCCTGTTAACTCCAGGG